GACGGACGGACGGACGGACGGACGGACGGACGGACGGACGGACGGACGGACGGACGGACGGACGGACGGACGGACGGACGGACGGACGGACGGACGGACGGACGGACGGACGGACGGACGGACGGACGGACGGACGGACGGACGGACGGACGGACGGACGGACGGACGGACGGATGGATGGATGGATGGATGGATGGATGGATGGATGGATGGATGGATGGACCATTAAATAAACACATAATAAACGCGAGGGGTCAGTGGTGACGCATAATAAATGTGACATATATGTTGTTTTCCTCTTCATGATGCTTTTTTGGACTGATGTGACTTTTACAGCAGAAAACAGTATTTGTACCCCGAGTTTTTATTATTCTTACTTTGGGGGACCGAAGCCAAAAGGTTTGGGAGCCACTGATTTAGGATATAAGTTTAAGAAGTGCCATTGATTCGACCAGAGCTAAAAGCTGAACAGAACCTGAGCTGGACTTTAAATGTAAAGATGTTTAAACTTCTGAACATGAAGATTCTGCAAAAACAAGGTTTGACCCAAACGGCTGCAACTCTCATTTCTCAACATTTCATTTTGAGACCTTTCACTTCCAGAATCATTATTAAAATAACTTTAAAGGAACTGGTTTTGACGCTGACCACCACCTTGGGGCTGTTGTCCAGGTGAAGGTGACAGACATCACCTGAGCACGGGGCCCGGCGGTCTGCAGCTGCAGGACGTGCTACCTGTTGGAGCGCGCTCACCTTCGCTGATCGGACGGCGTGCAGGAAGTCCACGCGCCTCCGGCTGCTGGAGCTGCTCAGGCTGCCTGTCGAGGCCCGGCTGGCCGCCTGTTTCATCCAGTTCAGGCCTCGCCGGACCACCAAGTCCCCCGTCATGGCGTGACCCAGACGAGCAGGAGCTGTCACCTGCACAGTACAGTAAATTAACCGTGGTTTTCAGATTTACATGGTCTAAACATCAAAAATATAATCCAGCCTGTCGCCGTCTTAGATTATAATTTTTAACTACTTTGTGCTGTTTGAATCAAGTATGTAGGAAAATGTTCGGCTCATTCAGGCTCTATGACCATGATGGCTTCTGTAACTTTTATGATTCAAAAGGTTTTGATTCTATTTAAAACATTTCTTTTATAAAATTAATTTAAATCTCTTCAGTTCCTTTAAAAACTTCCTCTTTTCAGGTTCATCGCTCTACTTTGGTCTTTTTACGCTAGGCTTAGTTTTTAGCTACTATTGTGCCATTTCTAGCAGAATAGTGGCTGCCAGCCTTTTGCTACATGCAGCTAGCCTTTTGCTACATTTTTTTTCATTTAGCCTTTATTTATCCAGGTTAGTCTCATTGAGCCACGAGAACTCATTTTCAAGAGAGACCTGTTTTTTATTTCTTCTAGGGAGCACATGGTGGGGGTTAAGGGCCTTGCTCATGGGCCCAGAGTGGGGCAAATGAGGGTGGGGGCAAGTGTGGGTGTTTCACCTACCCCACCCACAATTTTGATGTTGTCGGGGCCGGGGCGTGAACCGGCGATCTTCGGATCACAGGCCCACCTCTCTAACCTCTGCGCCACCACTCGCTACTTTCATCCGGCCTTTTGATTCTTTTACCGAGACTGTTGCTACTATCAGCTAGCCTTTTGCTTATTTTAGATACTTTTTCAAATTTTAGCTTTCAGCCACACAGTTGCTACTAGCTAATTTTCCTACTTTTAGCTTACCCTACAGCATTTTAGATGGCCTTTCAGCTTCTTTTAACTGACCTTTATCTTCTAATAATGAACCTTTAGCTTCTTTTATTGGGCTTTAGTTTCTTTTATTGGGCCTTTACCTTTTTTTATCTGTCCTTTAGTTTCTTTAAACTGGCCTTTAGCTTCTTTTATTGAGTCTTTAGCTTCTTAACTTGCCTTTAGCTTCTTTAAACTGGCCTTTAGCTTCTTTTATTGAGTCTTTAGCTTCTTTTATTGAGTCTTTAGCTTCCTTTATCGGGTCTTTAGCTTCTTTTATCGGGCCTTTGGCATCTTTTAACTGGCCTTTAGCTTCTTTTATCTGGCCTTTAGTTTCTTTAAACTGGCCTTTAGCTTCTTTTATGAGTCTTTAGCTTCTTAACTTGCCTTTAGCTTCTTTAAACTGGCCTTTAGCTTCTTTTATTGAGTCTTTAGCTTCTTAACTTGCCTTTAGCTTCTTTAAACTGGCCTTTAGCTTCTTTTATTGAGTCTTTAGCTTCTTTTATCGGGTCTTTAGCTTCTTTTATCAGGCCTTTGGCATCTTTTAACTGGCCTTTGGCTTCTTTTATCTGGCCTTTAGCTTCTTTTATTGAGCCTTTAGCTTCTTTTATTGAGCCTTTAGCTTCTTTTATCTTTAACCGCGGTAGTGGAGCACGGACCGCGGTTTATCTGAAAGTAATCTGCATTTGGTTCAGCAGATAAAACTCTGTTTTTGTTTTGTTTACATTTATTTAACAACCATAAAGTTTACTAAAATAGCCGTGCTGCGTTCAGGTACCTGTTGTGTTCACAGCTGCAGAACCAGACCAAACTAAATCAGAGGCTACAACAACAGTTTGAACAGAGGTTTAGTTTCATCTTCTACCTGCAGAGGAGGAATTAAGAAGAACGTGTCTGAACAACGTGAACTTGAAGAGAAAACCCAAAACTGTGCATGTGAGCTCATTTCACTTTGTTGACAAACAACCGACGGAGGAAAACCTGCATCCAACTTTGTGTCTGGACAATAAACCACCGGAGAAGAGACGCCGGGTCCTCAGAAGGATTGAAAGCAGAGACAGAACATCAGATTTGACTTCAGGTGTATGGAGGACACAGTGTCTTCAGTTTTATGATTTAAACTACATTAACTCGTACTGGTCGCACATAAACGCTGGTTCTGGTCCGCCTGGAAGTCGAGCCCATGATTCACACAAGGCAGCAGGTGGGTAGAAACGAAGTGGACATGAAGCTGGAAACTGCTCTTGATTCAGGAAAAGAACAGGAAATGTACAGTACACAGGTACAAATAGACCAGAATGCATTGCAGCATGAGCCAGCAGGTTAATGTGAACATCTGTGGCTCATTATTGATCTTTAGACTCTGCAAATGTATTTAATTATACAGGAAATTTTAATACATTGCTCAATCTCTCATGTTCTACAGTTACAGCTGCAGTCGGTGGTTGTGTCAAAGAACTGTGCGAACATTCTGCACATAATTATGAAGTACCGACGAGTACAAAAACATCTGGAGTACCCCGTCCAGTTTATTTTACTAGAGAAAACACTTTGTAGTGAGTGAGTGCACATTCTGAACACAACCTCAGTCAGAAAGTTAGCTCCGATACATTTGAACTATTGTTGCATGGGCCGAATAAAACCAGAACAAGGGCCGGGTCTGGCCCGCGGGCCTTCAGTTGGACATCTGCAAACAACTTGATGATGAGCAGCAGCTGGTTGAAGAAGAGGAGGAAGAGCTGACCAGCACAGTTCGTGCTCGCAGAACAACAAAGCAGCACCTGGCCTGCTCCGGCTGGGCCAACGAGCCGAACACGATAAACCGTGAAGAAACCGTCTCCCCGCAGCAGCGACACCGCGATGATCGTGGACGTGCGCGATTTCAGACACGATTCGTGCAAACAGCCACGTCTCCCACTCACCACAAGCTCGGGCTCAGCTCAGAGCGCGTGCAGGGCCGCGAGCATTGTTGTGCAAAAACCAGCACGAGCTCCTCGCTCACCTTGACTTTTACTGTGAACCCCCCACCTCCAGTCCGGCCGCGAGGCGGGCGACTCCCGAAGGACGTGCACGTTTCCTCCGGGCAAAAGACCAAAGCACCGGCCCAATGAGGCGAAGTTCACGCGCCGAGCCTGGACCATCCAGTGCCACACTGGTTGTTCAAACTGTCAGTCTGGATGCTGACGTGTCCGACGATCAGGGCGGGCCCTGAACTGCACGCGTGATGCATTCACGAGCTTCCCGTCCATTTCTGTTTTCGAGCGTCACGTGCTGGTGTACAGTTCTTAAACATGAAACGAAAGGTCTGGCTCATCTTTTATGAAAAACTGTTAAACTCAGGTCACTTTATGTTCAGAAAAGATGAAAATATAGCAGCTTTAATCAAATCTATTTGTTAATTTATTTAACCTTTGTTGGTCTCAAGGAGTCACAAGGACTCGTTTTCAAGAGAGACCTGTTCTACAACATAAAGCAACAACAATATAAAACTATAAAAAGTAATTAAAACAACAAATAATGTTATTAAAACACTGTCAGCAAAGCTGTTCTGAGAGTAGCAAGCTTTTTTTATTTTATTCAACCTTTATTTTTTCAGGTTAGTCCCATTGAGCCTCGGGACTCGTTTACAAGAGAGACCTGGTTTTAACAAAGAGCGATGACAACAATGGACAATCACAAAAGAGGCGTACAAATTATTATTATTTACAAGTTAAAATAAAATGGCAACCAAAAGGACAGTCAAAAGGAAAAAGCAGTGGGAAAAAAACAACTAGATTGTAAGACGGTGTAGAAAAGTAAAACCAGGAACATGTCTGCATTGGTTTTTGTCATGAACTTAATAGATGAGGCCACTGAGGTCAAGGTCGAGAGCTTCTGTTAGAGAGGTTCTCTGAACAGCACGACACTTGTCAGCAACATGGTCCTGTTAGCAGCACAGTCCTGTTAGCAGCACGTCCTGTTAGCAGTGTGGTCCTATTAACCAAGTGGTTCTGTTAGCTGTGAGGTTCTCTTTGCAGCACGGTCCTGTTAGCAACATGGTCCTGTTAGCAGCATGGTCCTGTTAGCAACATGGTCCTGTTAGCAGCACGTCCTGTTAGCAGTGTGGTCCTATTAACCAAGTGGTTCTGTTAGCTGTGAGGTTCTCTTTGCAGCACATTCCTGTTAGCAGCATGGTCCTGTTAGCAGCATGTTGCTGTTAGAAATGTGGTTTTGCCAGCAGAGTGGTTCTGTTAGCTGTGAGGTTCTCTTAGCAGCACATTCCTGTTAGCAGCACGGTCCTGTTAGCAGCATGTTACCATTACAAACATGGTTTTACCAGCAGAATGGTCCTGTTAGCAGCACAATCCTGTCAGCAGTATGGTCCTGTTAGCAGCATGTTGCTATTAGAAATGCAGTTTTGCCAGCAGAGTGGTCCTGTTAGCAGCACGGTCCTGTTAGCAGCATATTGCTATCAGAAATGCAGTTTTGCCAGCAGAGTGGTTCTGTTAGCAGCATGGTCCTGTTAGCAGCACGGTCCTGTTAGCAGCATGTTACTATTACAAACATGGTTTTACCAGCAGAATGGTCCTGTTAGCAGCACAATCCTGTCAGCAGTATGGTTCTGTTAGCAGCACAATCCTGTCAGCAGTATGGTTCTGTTAGCAGCATGTTGCTATTAGAAATGCAGTTTTGCCAGCAGAGTGGTCCTGTTAGCAGCACGGTCCTGTTAGCAGCATATTGCTATCAGAAATGCAGTTTTGCCAGCAGAGTGGTTCTGTTAGCAGCGTGGTTCTGTTTGTATGTAATCTAATGCAGTATCACAACACCTTGTTTGATTTAGCGTGATCTGTTAGCATGTAGTGCATGTTTTTTATTCTTGCAAAGATTAAATAAATAAAGAATAACTACGACCATATCATCATATCAAATATCCTTTAATACATGTATAATTATTTACATGTAGGTGAGCTGAATGTGTCGGCCATCTTTAGTTGTGTGTAGTTCGGCTCTAACCAGGTTGAGTCAGGTCCTCTGAAACATTTTTCCAACTTTGATCCAAAATACAACCACCCAGTCCAGCGGTCATTCCGTATGTTGCAGGAGTTTCAGAGAAACTGACGTCCCAGTGGCCTTTAAACCCCAAAATGCATTACAGCAAAGACACAAGTGAAGTCAGCACATCTTTTATTATTTGCATTTGACAGTGATGGTGTGTAACAACGGCTCAAGAGGACTTCCAGTTACCTTCCAACAAACCGTCATTAAAGAAATTTAAGAACTGGAGCTTGTTCTTGGTGAAGGAAACGGACCATCAGGGTCGGAGGGCAGACTTCAGCTTGGGGAAAAGCCGCAGTGCGTTTTGTGTCGTCGCCTCGATCACCGTCTCCAGCGACACCCCCTTAATCTTACTGATGTACTCCGCACAGACGCAGATGTTTTGTGGCTCATTTCTTACCTGCAGACACGAAGCGAAAAGGCGGCGATAAAAATGGAAAAGCTGCTACACGACTGAAGAGTTTTACTAAAGTACAACCCCGATCCTTCAAAAGTTGGCAGGTTTAAAAAAAAGTAAATAAAGACGGAATGCAACGATTTCCAAACATCAAACCCATTTTTTGGACTCTTAATATGAAGTTATTATTTCCAGATGAGTAAGCGGTCCATGCCAGAGGCAGTCATGCACCCTTATAACATCAGAGAGGCAGGCTTTTGAACAGCATGCTGATAAGTTGGATACGGTTCAAAAGCCTGCCTCTCTGACGTTATATGGGTGCATTAGTGCCTCTGGCATGGACTGCTTACTCATCTGGAAATAAAGGCTTCATAGTAGACGAGAACTGATATAATTTATAAACTCTAAACATTTAATGCTTACAGTGTTCCACTGAGAATAAAATAGGGATTTATGAAATTTGAAAATCATTGCATAATTTTTTATTTACATTTCATACATTGTTCCAACTCTTTGGAAACCTGGGGTGTAAAACAATTATTGTGACGAGCTAAAACACTTGTAATGTTTTTAGATTACATTACCATAAGGATGTTGGTTCAAGCACCTGTTCACATCACGTTAAATGCAATTTTAAATAATTTGTACCTGTTTTTCTGGACCGAGAGCTGGAGAATCTGTTTCCAGGCAGATGTTCTCCAGGGGCAACTGTTTTACAAGTTTCTGCTTCTTGGTTCAGAACATAAAAATCATCAGTCGTTAATTTTTAATGTTAAATTCAGTCAATGAAAACTGTCAAAAACAGCAGAACTTGTTCATTTATTATTATTTACCAGTATTATTAATCTACTTGCATAGAAAAAGTCTTCAATCCTCTTACACAAACTTCAAAGTATTTTTCTGTGATTTTATGTTGCAGACCAACACAAAGTAGCTCAGTGTGAAGTGGAAGAGAAAATAATGCACAGGATTTAAAATTATTTACAAATAAAAATTATAATTTGTGTTCACCCTAGTTATTTTGATCTCCCAGTCTAAGAATCCATCTAATTAGTAAAACAAATCCAGATGTGTTTACGTTAACCTCACTATAAATCCAGCAGTGAAGGCCTCAGCATCATGAAGACCAAGGATCAAACCAGACAGGTCAGGAGTAACGTTGTTGTGAAGCTTACAGCAGAGTTAGGTTATAAAACAATACTCCAAGCTTTGATCATCTCAGAGCTCTGTTCAGTCCATCATCTGACCCAATGTGCACCTTTGTGTTGGTCGTTGATGAAGAAATTTCACTAAACTACTTTGAAGTTTGTGGCTGCAACGTGACAAAAGTTCAGAGTACAACGGGCCTGAACAAGGTGAAATGTGAGAGCTTCAGGTCGTACCTGCTCGCTCCGGATTATGGACGGCGGGATGGAAAAGAAGAACCCGGCCTTCACTCCCTCCATGGCGACAGACGGCTTCCCATCAAAAGCATGAAGAAGAGCTTTGTCGACACCTGGTGGCGGAGTGGAGAAACTGCAGCTGAACGCGTTTGAACAGGCATCTCAGGAAATACTGTGAAAATGCTAAAAAATATATATCAATCATTTCACAAAGTCTAACTCGTATAGATTCATTACACAGAGCGAAATATTTAAATACTTGATTGTACTTTTGATTATTACGGCTTAAAAATATATAAAATAGGGGTGGTGGCGCAGTGGTTAGAGAAGGTGGGCCTGTGACAGAAGGTTGCCGGTTAGAAGCTGGTTCTGGAATATTCTAATCACTGAGTTTATTTTTCATTATTTGTAAGTTATAATCATCATAATTACAAGAAATAAAGGCTTGAAATGTTTAAATTTGTGTGTGATGAATCTGTAATATTTGAGTTGGACTTTCTGAAATGACCGATAATTTTTTTTAAACGTTTTCACGATGTTCTAACGTTTGGAGACGCAGCTGTACTTCATCCAGATGTAAACAACGTGAACTTCTCACCTTGTTCCTTCAGCAGCTGGATGGTGGGTCGTCCTGCAGATCTCGAGTGAACATTTCTAACAAGAAGACTTTTGTCATTACACGAAGACAAATTAGTCCCAAAATTAGAGACACGAGCACACCACGAGTTTTACAAACGTACACGTTTCTAACTGCACGAGCACGAATATTCTATGCATACAAATGGTCCAATACACGTGCACAAATCCCCTGCTGTGCACGGATTAGCCTCCAGATTCACAAACATAATGCTGCGTTCAAGGCTGCTGGAAAGCTGGGACATCTGAGTCTTACCAGATTTACTGTTACTGGGAAAACATACATTTCTAACTGGGTACAGTAACTCCTCCATATTAAAACACATACACTTCCATTAACATTACTGGATTCAAATGGAAAAAATGGAACAGGAATGTTTAACAACTCACTCTCAGCTGCAACCAAACTAAATTTCAGCTCAGTATCTCAAAGAACGACGGAGTTTTTGGCGTTTGCTCAGTAGCTGTGGCAGCCATCTTGAATCAAAATGTCTCCAGAAGTTAATCACTTCTGGAGATGCAGCTGATGATTACTTTCTGTAGTCACCTGAGTCATGTGGCTTCCATGTTACAGAAGCTCCACCTTTCTTCATCAACCTGATAATGGCCAGCAGGCTCGTTACCATAGAAACAACCTGAGCCAATCAGAAAGCTTGAACTATCTGGAGGATGATAACAGGTGGTACAGTACTGGAAGCATCCAGTGCATGGCAGTCCCCAAAAAAACTTTGCCTCCCATGGTATCAGTTTGATTTATTAATTGTCCACAAATAAAAGGGATGTTTTAGTGTTAGCAAAATATCCACAAACCACTGAACAAATATCATTGAAACTCTCAGAAAGTAATCGCTAATGTCACTTCAGTTCAAGATGGCTACCACAGGGAACTTGCATGAACAAACACAAAACGGCTCTAATTTTAAACCACTGAATGAAGTCGGTGATTCTGGAAATATCCAGATTTATTTCTTGATTTTTAACACGACGAGCCGAAGCAAAACTCACAGGGGGAGGTCCAGCTCCTTGGCGAGCTGTGCTTGACGGATCAGGACTCGCCTCTGATTCTCTTTATCCAAATCGCTGCTGACAAACCGGGGCGTAAAATCCAGACCGACCTGCAGCAACAAACCGTGAATAAAAAGTCTCAGCGGGGACCAGAGAAACTGCACATCCTGCGAATGAAAACTGCTGAACAAGCTGAAACTTATTTCAAATGCATCAATAGCTGAAAAATAGAGAGAAGCTAAAAGAAGCCGAAAACGAAACAAAAACATGAACTAAAATAAAATAAAAAGATAAAAGTTAGAAGCACACAGGAACATAAAGAGCTCAAATTAACAGAAAAGTTGAAAAATACAAAAATGAGCTAAAGAGCATCAAAAAGCTGAAATTAGAAGTGGAACGAGCACAAGTTTGCTTATGTAGAAATAAACGGAAATGAGTGCAAAAAGCTAAAATTAGCTAAAAAAAAGTAGCTGAAAAACAAACAACAAAAAAAAGTTTAAAAATTTGTAAATAAAATAAAAAGTAGCCGAAATAAGCAGAATTGGAATGAAATGAGCAGTAAAAGGTTTTAAAGAGCTGAAGGGTTTGAAGGATGTGAAGAGCTCCGTTCAGTTTCAGTGATAAAAAAAAAAAAAACCCGACTGAAAACGATAAATATTTGTAAAAGTAAAAAACTGCACAAACATCAAAAGTCCCAGCAGGAATGTCCTGAAGGAGCCGAACGTTTTCATGCATGAATTGTTGAAACAGCTAAAATGATTAAAGGAGTTACGTGCTGAAAAACGTACGGAAGAAAGATGAAACTCATTTTTAAACCTCGACACAGTTAAGAACAGAAAAGAGGCGACAGCTTCGGTTATGATGCTGCATGTTCGAGTTTAATCGTCTGAAGTTACCTCTCCGATGGCAACAAGTTCTTCTTTGTATTTCTTCATGATCGGTAAAGCTGCATCAAGGTCCTGCAAACCAGACACACGTCCGTTAAAATAAAATAACTTCTCTTATGAAGCAAGCGTTCCTGGATGAAATGCACATCGCCCGCCACCGGACGGTGCGTCACGTGGCCACACTCGCACCAGAAGGCACGTTAAATCCTCAAATGAACGGCACTGATGTTTTTGAAATGTGGAATCAAGTCCGAGACCCAACACGAATCAAGGTCAAGAGGTCGGGTCGCAGATTAAAGGTTTAAAATCACGTGGGCACAAAAAACAATGAGGGGTCCAGGAGTTCATGAGATATTTTGCTAACACTGATACAGTGGACTCCAGCTGTATAACAATCAGAAAATGCTCACGAGTGCAGGCATGACTCTCAGCTACTACCACACCAAAGCTCGACTCGTTCTCAGAAGAACTGAGTGTTGGCTAACGTGACAAAGCTATGGCGGCCATTTTGAATGTGGCTGACTTCATAAGTTGTAGACGTACATCCAACGATTACAGTTTCATTCAAATACATCACGCGACAAAACACACCAAAATGGGCAAAAACATTATCGCCCTTTGCCTTCGGCGGTGTGCGGTGACAAATGTTGATCATTGTTTATTTTAATACATTTATTAGTTTATTTAAATGAAAACATACTAAAGCATCTCAACCTTAACAAGGATAAGGTTTTTCTGAAAAAAAAAAAAAAAAAAGTGTGCACGAACTGGAAACAAAATCAAATTACTAAAGTAGCACAAATACTAGTATTACTATTACTAGTTGTACCAAGTACTACACAAATATCATTGAAGCATTAGTACAATTAATAAATTGTACTATTAGCACAATTACTAAACTAATATTATAATACTACTAGAACAAGTACATTAGCAAAATTACTACCATTACAAAACTAGCAGCAATAGTACTACTACTACTACTACTACTAATATACTAGTACTAGAAGCACCATTATTAGTAGTACTTTATTATACAAGTATCAGTACTGGTATAAGACAACTTTATTTATAGAGCACATTTAAAACAGAAACTGTTATCAAAGTGCTTATCAACAACAACAACAACAACAACAACAACAACAACAACAACAACAACAACAACAACTCACACTGTGTGAAATGCCTGCGAGAACAGATGGGGGATTTGAAGTGAGGGAGGGAGGTGTCCTGCCTGATGTTGGGGGGCAGGTTGAAGGGAGGTGTCCTGCCTGATGTTGGGGGGCAGGTTGCTCCAGAGTCCATGACTGAAAAAGCCCGATCTCCTCTGAGCTTCTTGTTTTTGGAACAGCCAAGAGCAGCTGATCAGATGATCTCAGGGCCCGAGAGGGAACGTAAGGTTCCTGAAGCTCAGAGAGGTGAAGGGGTGCGAGGCCATTTAGGCATTTGAAGGTGAACAGAAGAATTTTAAAGACTGTCCTTGTAGGAACAGGGAGCCAGTGAAGGGAGGACAGAACTGGAGTAATATGTTCAGACCTACGAGTTCTGGTTAAAAGCCGAGCTGCAGCATTCTGGACGAGCTGAAGACGTGAGATGGAGGATTATACAAGTACCCTTAGAAATAGTGGTACATTTACTATTTACTTAGAACTACAATGGATATTGGTAATATTAGTGCACGTGCTAGTACAGTAACGAGCAGTACCCCGATGTCCCCCGTCGTAGTTTTGTAGATGAGTGTTTTTCTGGACTGGAATTAAACAGGGAATGAAGTGAACCTAAATGTTTTAGTACAAGATATTCAAGAAGGGAAGAGTTACACTGTGGAGAAGAACTGAGGTGGTTTAGTTTGTACTCCTGGACACGAGCTACAAATGTCTCATTCCTCAAGTTCAGCCACTCCTGAACCAGAGACATCAGAAGTGTCTTACCTGCTGAGGACACAAAGACCTGGACTGTCTCTCAGTGGTCCAACGTCCTGTTTTCACATCAAAGATTTATAATTGAAGGTCTCAGAGTCGGCCCTGTGATGGACTGGCGACCCGTCCAGGGTGTCCCCCGTCCCTCGCACAGTGATGGCTGGACATGGGCACCGGCGACCCCCGTGACCCAAAATAGAAGAAGCGGGTAAAAGATAATGGATGGATGGTCTCAGAGTCTGGAGGAAGTGAAGAAGTCCAGAATCCACGTTGATGAAGTCCAGAGTGAAGTTTCCACAGTCAGGGATGGTTTGGGTCCATGTCCTCTGCTGGTTCTGGTCCACTGGGTGTTCTGAAGTCCACGCAGCATCTAGCAGGACACTTTAGAGACTTCCTGCTTCCTTCTGCTGACGAGCTTCATGGAGACGCTGGTTTCATTTTCCAGCAGGACTCGGCACCGGCCCACACCGACACCAGAAGCTGGTTCTGGAATATTCTAATCACCGAGTTTATTTTTCATTATTTGTAAGTTATAATCATCAGAATTACAAGAAATAAAGGCTTGAAATGTTTAAATCTGTGTGTGATGAATCTGTGTAATATTTGAGTTTGACTTTCTGAAATGACTGACAAAAAAAACAACAACTTTTTCACGATATTTTAACTTTTGGAGATGCAGCTTTATATAAACTCTCCTGACGTTTGAGGCTTTGAGGTGCTTGAGTTGGAGCAACTCCTCTGCATAAAGCTCAAACCTTTATGTTCTTAAAATACTGGAAGACATGAACCATCATCTGCTCACTGGAGTCTCTAGTCTGCAGCACTTTCAAGCTGAAGTGCTCTGAAGGGGGAAAATCCAAGCAGCTGAAAATCCCACATTAAAGTTTAACGCATATTTACATTTTTAAAATTCAAAAATCATAAAGTGCACAAGAACAAGTCACAGCCATCCACTCCTGAATGAGCTGAATTCAAAATTCAAACGGCTGCAATAGGATGAAGTTTGCACGAGTAGTTAATTAAGAAAATAAACGAAACTGGATCTCAAACTGTGCACTTCATGCACACTAATAATAATAAATGTAAAATAAAGTTTGATGCAACAGATGCTGGGTGGAAAGATCTACCTGTGGAGCAGCACCCCTCTGCTGCCCTGCAGAAACTTCCTGAACAGGATGCACACCTAAGCAGGGGAAAACAAACCCTGAAAACCTAAAACAGGAAAGGCTGTCATTAACTAAAGGACTCTGAACACATGAAACACATTAAGAACATTCAGGCAGGTGTTACCTCTGAGAAAGCTCAATGATCTTGTTAAATTCACCAGCATGCTCGGCCACTGCCAGCACAGCCAACAGTCCAGCCTAGACAATAAAACCACATGAACTTTAACTTCAAAACCAAGACGAGCAAAACTTTCATTCGTTCCATCTTTATTTATACAGGCTAGCCTCCATGAGCCGCGGGGACTCATTTGAAAGAGGGACCCGTTTCAGACGGAAGCCTCACCTTTTTAGAACGCTCAATCACTTCTTCTACATCCTGACAAGAAAAAAAAAAACAAGTTACAGCATCGTAAAATATTTAAGAAATAAAACAGGAACTTAATTTTTATTCACACCTTGTCAAAATCCCCAGCAGAGATGTGACAGTGGCAGTCGACGTAGCCTAGCATGTGTAGCCCAAACAAAAACAGTTCCGCTTGGATGTGATCTGCGCATGTGTGAAACCTTGACGACGTTCGATACATTTTGTTCCTGGCGTAGCCCGCGGAGGCGGTGTTGTCTCGTATAGTTTGATAAACTTAACGCGAAGTCCAAGGATTTATATCCAACGCATCCAGAGTTTTGCGGAAGAAGGAACTCACTTGACTTTAAAAACATTGTAGCGCTTGTTTACATATATATTTTTTTTAATTATCGCCAGCTGATCATGTGATGGTTCTCAGGACTTTAATCCTTTGACATATGATAGCTAACCCGTCCAACAGGATCATTTTAGCTCTGCTCGAAATGGGAACATTAGGAGTTTCTCTCGTCTGCTTGATGCTGCTTGGTGCCAGCAGAGCCAGATACGAACCGAACTGGGAATCCATCGATTCGAGACCGCTGCCAGACTGGTTCGACCAGGCAAAGTTCGGCATCTTCATCCACTGGGGAGTGTTTTCTGTGCCGAGCTTCGGCAGCGAGTGGTTCTGGTGAGCTCTTCCTCCATCTTCGTGTCAGCTTTATTTATTTTATTTACTGTTCAGTTTTGATGTGGGAGGACCCAATGCCATTAAAAACGTTAACTTTTCACATTAACTCGGTTTTTAAGCAACACCAACTGTTCTAATCGTCGCAGGGGGTTAAACTCTTGTTCAAAGTGTAATTTGTTTAATCAGGTGTCTTGTAAATGAGTCCTCGGGGCTCAATGGGATTTACCTGTTTAAATAAAGGTTGAATGAAAAACCTTTGATCTGAATGTTATGCTTGAAATTTGCATTACCCTTTATTTATTTTAATACGCTGAGCACCATGAGTTTGTCTCGACTGCATCATACTCCAATTTTTCCACAAAATACACTTTGCACCATATAACCTTTAGAAATGTAGCAGGTAGGTTACACAGAACAAGTTGCCTTATTAAACCTGAGTATCATACTAAATCAGCCTCACTAATCCTCTATCAACTACACAGATTGGGGCGGCTGTGGCTGAGTGGTTAGAGCAGTCGTCCTCCAAGTGGAAAGTTGGGGGTTCAATTCCACCAGCAGCCACATGCTGAAGTGTCCCTGGGCAAGACACTGAACCCCTCACTGCCTCTGATGCGTGTCCCACCAGTGCATGAATGTGATAAAGCTCTGATTATTGCGCTGAATAATCTGTGAATTGCGCCGCTCAAGGTGGCTGCATGTTGGTGTAGCTCTCTTACATTCATTCTGAGATTTTCCATCCATCCATCTTTTACCCGCTTCTTCCATTTTGGGTCACGGGGGTCACCGGTGCCCATGTCCAGCAATCACCGTGCGAGGGGCGGGGTACGCCCTGGACGAGTCGCAAGGCCATTCTGAGATTTTGCTTTTGAAAACTTTAATTACAAATTTTTCTTGATGTAAATGACTTTTTTCGGATGATTACTTCCTCTGGCATCAGATGCTGTGCTGCTGGAAGGACTTTTACTGAAACCTTTTTCACATTTGGACATTGTTACAACAAGGTGGTTTTCTACAACTGGGAACTGCTGATTAACATCTCAAAAGCCCAAATAAGACCAACTACAGCCCCAATCCCAAATGAGTTGAAAAGGAGATGCCGTGGATGCATTACCGTCTACCTGGAGGCTGTGCTCAAGTGCCTGACCACAACTTAAAACAGCGGGAGGACCAAAATCGTCCCCTGGCACCTGCAAGTAAGTCCGCAGTGACGAGGGGCTCGGCCGGCTGCTGCAAGAAATGGCCATTGCTTGGGGAGGAGTTCTGCCGGCATTCAGGCAAGAACAGACCCTGCTGCCCAAGAGGCCTGCAGGGTCTGGGTGGACGTATCGGCATCTGCAGCCAGTTTCTTCGGATCGGCTGTGGGAAGGGCTGCTACAAGAAATCCTTCCTGCCCAAAACCATCAGCATCTATAACAACTCTAATGACGAGCTACAACAACAATTAATTTCATTTTGGGATTAATAAAGTATTTTTTAATTGAATTGAATTAGTCTCTTTAGAATGATTTGTTCAATTATCTTTGTGGAGATCTAGTAGAGTGCTGTATGAATGGGTAAACGAGAACACAGATTGTTGTAAAGCACCGAGTATCTTGACAAGATAGAAGGTGCTATACAAGTACAGTCCATTTACCTTTGTTTATAAGATCTTTATAAAATGTGCTTGTTGAATACAACTCTAGTGTATATGGGCTTACCAAAAGAACAAGAGAGAAACTCACAGTATGTGACTAGTTCTGCAGCTGCTTCCCAATAATGCCGTGAAGTCCTCATACTGGTGTAGCCCACAGTGTACATGTACACCCAGATTTTCCATGTAGAGCAGCTTCATGAAGCAAATGATATGGCAATAAGAAGCAACATCTATACGTCTGCATGGAGCCAGTGAGATATGATGGAACAGTGATAAACTGTGACTATTAGAGCTTCAGCTTGAATTACCTTACTTGTGAATTTAATTGTTTAATTGAATTTACTTGTTACCATGAATAGTAAATTATTGGATGATGCTATAAGGGTGGGTGTAACAATAAGTTTATACTTCTACCCACTCCATTGAACGTGTAAATATATTTTACTACTGTTCCTTTCTTTTTTCTGCTTGCTTTTGTTTTAAATTAATTTTTATATAACTTTGTTTATTATTTTATTATACTGCGTTGAATAAAGCTAAACTCAAAATATTCTGTCCTACAATCTGTGCTTCTTGTAACTTAAAACAATCTTGCTCTATTACCAATATTTTTATGGCATCGCATATAGACAGTAAACAATTTCCAACGTTCTTCTTTCTGCTTCTAGTTCGATCGTTACAAAATGTAAGGAGCAGCTTTTCTTGTACAAAAGTCTTCATGAGCTGTGTTGTTGCATCACTGTGTTTGGCAGGTGGTACTGGCAGGGACAAAAGCTGAAGCCATATGTCGACTTCATGCAGAACAATTATCCCCCAGATTTCAAGTACCAAGACTTTGCACCACAGTTTACAGCAGAGTTCTTCGATGCCCAAGAATGGACGGACATCTTTGCTTCTTCGGGGGCAAAGTACGTTGTCCTGACCACCAAACACCATGAAGGTAATGGAAATGCAACCTGAAGTGCAACATGGGGGTTTATTTTTAAGTTATTGCTGCCTAGAGACAAAAGGGAGATAGTTTTTGTTCATGCGTTTGTCTGTAGCATTAGCAACATATCTCCCGAACCAGCCGATACGAAAACTCCCAGAAAGTCATCATTGGTTGTAACTCAGTGAACTTTGCAGATCTGAGCTAAAGTTTTGTGCGGTAGTAGCTGAGCATCATCTCCAACACACACTCTGAGCACTACACATTTTAGTCTAAATCTCTGGCTTTGAATATTGGTGACAACCCCAACTGTCTTTTAGCAAAACAACTCACAAACCAAACCAGTGGGTGTATGTTAATGATGTACTAACTGATTAACATATGGCGTCTCTCCAGTTCAAGATGGCCACCACAGCTACTCAAATACTTAAAGTCAGCTGTAACTCAGTTACAATCACTGAGCTGAAACATGCTGTGGTTGTAGCCGAGTGAAACACAAACGCTTCACAACATAAGGTTTGACCAGAACGACCAACTCTCTGGTCTCTCGTCAGAAAATGAGTTTAGTTGAAAACGAGTTTCTCATCACGACCTTCAGCCATGCCTGTGTGCAGTTTGTTCTGGATCCTTTCAGAGCGTACATCCTGACCTCATGATGCCAGTGTTCGTCTCATCACGGTCAGGCAGGAGCTGGACTCTCGTGTTGGTGTATTTTACAGGCTTCACACTTTGGGGCTCAAAGAACTCCTGGAACTGGAACGCCGCAGACGTAGGACCAAAGCGAGACCTGGTGGATGAAGTGGCGAGTGCGCTGCACGCTCACAGCGATCTGCGTTTAGGGCTCTACCACTCTCTCTTCGAGTGGTTTAACCCCCTCTTTAGGCAGGATGCTGCCAATGCCTTCACGACCAACTACTTCCCCACCGCTAAGACGCTGCCCGAGCTTTACGAGCTGGTTGTCAAGTACAAACCAGAGGTGGTGTGGTCCGATGGAGATGGAGACGCACCTGACAAGTACTGGAACAGCACAGGGTTCTTGGCCTGGCTCTACAACGACAGGTAAGCTCACAAAGAAAGTGCTCCTTTATCTCATCTGGGGTTTAAAACTGAAAATACAATAATTCTTATTTGATGACAGTCCAGTCCGGGACACAGTGGTGACAAACGATCGATGGGGGAAAGGCTCCATCTGCACACACGGTGGGTATTACACCTGCTCCGACCGCTACCAGCCAGGACACCTGCTCAAACACAAATGGGAAAACTGCATGACCATTGACACCAAGTCCTGGGGCTACAGACGGAACGCCCCCCTCAGTGACTACCTCGCCATCGAGCAGCTTGTAGCGGTGAGACTTCAAAACCCTCCTACAACTGTGAACGCTTTATTAAGTAATAAAACATCATCGAATGAACTAAAAGTATGCAACAGAAATGTTAATTAGGTGTTGATTTCACTATTGTCACCATGGTAACTGCACATCTGTGTTTGTCAGTCCCTGACTATCTAGAAAATGAGAGGCAGACAGGAACAGACTAAAAAGTAAGCCTCAAACAGCTGCCGTGTGAAAACTACAACTACAGTGACCGATGACCGACGGTCACAGGAATTCAAGAACAACAAATGTCCAAATGCAGTGAGAGACACGTGTGATATGTAATTTGTAGTAGGGGCAGAGACTAAAACATCATCATTAACC